ATAGGTACCTCTGGTAGGCAGAGAGAGACACGGATAGAGAGGGGCAGCCAGAGAGCGGATGTCGAGTGCGCCGCCTTCGGACTGATAATACATACACTGGATGATATATCCGTTTGCTGAGATAGACAATTAATTGCTGTGTGCATGTGTGTATAAAGTGACCAAAACGATGGGCTCGATCACACACACACACACGTGCAGCCCTGTGCACACACACACGCACACACATCCCTGTGTGCGTCCGTCAGTGAGCCTGTGTGAGGTGCGTCACAAACAACATTCTCTCTGGGATGAGCAGACCCACCTCGCTGAGGGAGAGAGGAAAAGCAGAGCCAGATAGAGAGACAACACCCACCGCCCTCCGTCGTGCAACTGGCTGGCTGACCTACCTACAGGCGGTTGGCCACTCGACGCACCCACACATCATTTCTCGGAGAGATTGATTGCAACACATGTTGGTGGGCTGGATGTGTGTGCTTGTGAGTGGCTGCCTGCGACAAAACGACCGTCACACTTTCTGTCGTACCGACTGGACAGACTTACACTTGTCAACGAATGGCTGTCTGTCTGTCTGGCTGGCTGTCGGTCTGACGGGGCATGGTGGCCCCATGCACACAGACACACACGTAGGGACGGACATACTGGTAGACGGAGGCATGTGTGTGTGTGACGAAAACGGCAGTGCTTTGGGCAATATGAGCAATCAGTTCGATCAGCAAGCAGCTCAACGTTCGGTTCTCACATGCATGGACAACACCAGCACGCATTCATCGACGAGCGATGCAGCTTACTTAGTCCACCCCACAGCGGCCACGCATGAGAGCATCCCGCCATCATGGCACCCCCACATCCCTCCCTCTGCACCTCATTCTATTCTACGCATCAGCTGACATGGGCCGACCTGACAGGCAAACATACAGCCCAACAGACACCACCGGCAGTGGACACGCGCGCGTATACAAGACAGCCAAACCGTACCTGTAGAATTGTCGTCAGGTGCCGAGTGGTTTAAGAGTGAGCGCATCTTCCTCATCTCCCTCCCAGCGGATGCCATACCGGGCCTCCAGCCCCTCAATGGCATCGCCATCACTCCGCTCATCATGTACATCCGTCCAGCCCCACTCGATGTCGAACCGCCCCTCCAGCCCCTCGATGGTGTCGCCATTGGTTCGTTCCTCCACCAGCCGCTTGAAGGTATCGGCTGGCCGCACCGCGAACTTGAGCTCCTCGATGCCGCGGATCTTGAGCAGCGACTTGACGCAGGCAATGCCGAACTCGCCAGCGGCATCGCCATCGCCCAAATCCTCAGGCACTGCACACAGACAGGAAGGCAGACATGACATCCAATGGGCAGACAGACGGGCACATACAAGACACAATGGGCGTGCATGTGAATGGAGGCGATAGGTGGCAGCTCACCTTCTACACGAAGATCCAGCCGTTTGATGGTCGGCAGCTGGTCGGCCATGTCGCCCCACGTCAGTCCCCCCTCACCCACGCCAGTCACGCTTGTGGCCTCAAAACACTCGAGGTCCCTCTCCCCACCCACCGCCTGCAGCATCCCCACCGCTTGCTCCTCTGTCGACCTCCCCAGTGTAATGCGTTTGACCGCCGGCATCTTGGTCAGCAGCCTGCGGCCAATCGCGAGCCCCTTGCGGCTGTGGCACCGGAGACCTGATGCGTCCGGGAATGCATTGTCGGGTATGCTGTCCAGCACAAGTGGGTCGGGCTGTCCGGCGTCATCGTCGAGCTCGTCGCCGGCGTAAACGTCGAGTTCGCCGTCATCGTCAGGCTCCCAATCGTCCTGGTCCACCACCGCCACATCCTTCACGTTGGGGAAGGTCAGGCACTGTGCGAGGACGATGGCAGCGGGGCTGGGCGTGTCGAGAGGGGTGGCGAAGTGCTGGGGGTCGACGTCGAAGGCCACACAGGCTGCGCCGGCTGCCAGCTGCTGGATGTGCTTCTGCACGAAGAGTGAGGGCTCCGGGCGGGTGGGGACGTCGCAGAGGAGGGACAGGTCGAAGTCATCTGCCCTCTTGATGTCGACGATGTCGGGGCTCACACAGACGGCACGGGCGAAGCTCTCGATGGCCGAGAGGGTCGCGAAGATGCTGCTTGTGATGTAGGAGCCCTCGAGCTTGACGCTGAGCTTCTTGATGGAGCGGCAGCCACGGTCGACGAGGACGGCCTACACATAGACACGCACATCACAAAGAAGCTCTCGCCCACTCTCTCTGATTTTGTGAATCTTGTTTCGTTCGTCGCATACCTGAAGACCCTCCAGACTATCAGCGCTAGACATCCTGAGGGTCCCGATGTCCTCCAGCTGTGACAGCGGCCCCGGCTGGCCGGCCGTGGCCGTGGGGATGCGCCGCAGCGAGTCCGCCATGGCGTAAGTACTGCATTCCACGTGCAGCTCCTTGAGGCACCGTGACGTGGCCACCAGCCCCCCCAACATCTCCGGATACACCGTCCCTCGCACCACCTGGACTGTCTCAAGCGACGGCAGCTGCCAGTGGCGCCCGTGGCCGGGACAGGAGGGCCCATATCCCGGGATCATAATGGACGTGAGGGATGTGAGGGTGGGGGGCGGGTTGAGGGGCGGGGAGAGAGCCGCCGACGGCTCTGTCGCAGCTCGGATATCGCGGCCCTCGGCCTTGTCGCCGGTTATGATCGATCCCTCGCTGATGTCGATGGACTCCAAGGTGGTTGGCGCCGGCTGCCCGGCTGCTGTGGCCGCTGCGCCTCTCCGCCCCTCACTGTGCCCCTCCACCAATGCCGTGACGAGCTTCTCGATCACCGGCGACAGATTGCGGTACTCATAAGTGTGTCGCTGCCGACCAGGGAGCGTCAAGGTCCAGGGGTACTTGACGACAATGGACCTGAGCCGTGTGAGCCGCCGGCCCCACTCGAAGGCGTCAGCGAATGAGAGGCCGCACCAGAAGCGCCGCTCGGCCGTGTCGTGGGTGTCCATGACCAGCTGGGTGATCTGGCAGCCGACGTGGCACCACAGCCGCTGGGGCAGCGCCGCCACCAAATGAAGCGACACGAAAGAAAAGACGTTGGCGACGACAACCGGCTGAGCGGACAACACACACCACACAGACACAGAGAGAGCAGACAGTGAGGATGTGTTTGCCAGTGTTTCCTTCGGTGCATCTTACGATTTGGCTGAATTGCTGTGCGAAGGCCTCCAGGTCTATGCTGTGTGTGGTGTGCGATGCTGTGGCCGCCGGCTGCTGCTGCTGCTGCTGCTGCTGGCCGTCGGTGTCCATCACGGCCTCCTGGTGTCCGTCATTCGAGTCATCCTCTTCTCTCTCCGCCGACCGCCTCTGCCGCTTCGATGCCGACTCACTCATCCCTCAATCATCCACCAAACGGGGCGTGTGAAATACATTAACTCATAGCGCAACGGCATGCAGCCTGAGGGTCTGTCGTGGTACGAAAAACTGGAAGACGTCAGAGTGTGATTCACAACCACAGGGTTTTGCGGGTTTTGGGTTTGAACCCTGAGCCCCTACCCTCAGGGTCATGGAACGTCCCCATTGCGACGCATCCACAAGCACCCTATGACAGGTCGCACGCGACTTGGAAAGGCAGACGAGTGGGCAACTCAGTATGAAGCAGACGATCTGACAGACAGAGGATCATACTCATTCGGCCAGGCTGTGTCTCGCTCACCTACAACTCGCCGGTGCTTTCTTCCAATTGCGTTGTCGAGTATATGGATGTCTGGATGTGTGGCTGAGGCATGGTGGCCTTACGCACACACGTATACTGGTATACAGAGAGACAACTCGCACCAACCGTACGTAACACTCGTCTCTGGTAGATAATATGGAGTGCTTGACGAATGAATGAATGAATAGCACCACACGGACACGCAGACAGACAGACAGACAGACAGACGGACGGACGGACGGACGATGGACTGCCACTGTTCGTGAATGAGTGAATGGTACGATAGGTACCTCTGGTAGGCAGAGAGAGACACGGATAGAGAGGGGCAGCCAGAGAGCGGATGTCGAGTGCGCCGCCTTCGGACTGATAATACATACACTGGATGATATATCCGTTTGCTGAGATAGACAATAAATTGCTGTGTGCATGTGTGTATAAAGTGACCAAAACGATGGGCTCGATCACACACACACACACGTGCAGCCCTGTGCACACACACACGCACACACATCCCTGTGTGCGTCCGTCAGTGAGCCTGTGTGAGGTGCGTCACAAACAACATTCTCTCTGGGATGAGCAGACCCACCTCGCTGAGGGAGAGAGGAAAAGCAGAGCCAGATAGAGAGACAACACTTACCGCCCTCCGTCATGCAACTGGCTGGCTGGCTGACCTACCTACAGGCGGTTGGCCACTCGACGCACCCACACATCATTTCTCGGAGAGATTGATTGCAACACATGTTGGTGGGCTGGATGTGTGTGCTTGTGAGTGGCTGCATGCGACAAAACGACCGTCACACTTTCTGTCGTACCGACTTGACTGACTTACACTTGTCAACGAATGGCTGTCTGTCTGGCTGTCTTGCTGGCTGTCGGTCTGTCGGGGGCATGGTGGCCCCATGCACACAGACACACACGTAGGGACGGACATACTGGTAGACGGAGGCATGTGTGTGTGACGAAAACGGCAGTGCTTTGGGCAATATGAGCAATTAGTCTGGTGCTCAACGTTCGGTTCTCACATGCATGGACAACACCAGCACGCATTCATCGACGAGCGATGCAGCTTACTTAGTCCACCCCACAGCGGCCACGCATGAGAGCATCCCTCAAGCATGGCACCCCCACCTCCCTCTGCACCTCATTCTATTCTACGCATCAGCAACTGATGGCCCGACCTGACAGGCAAACACACAGCCCAAAACACACACGACCGGCAGTGGACAAGCGCGCCCATACCAGGTAGCCAAACCGTACCTATCGAATTTTCGTCAGGTGTCGAGTGGTTTGAGAGTGAGGAAATCTCCCCGATATCCCCGCCACCCGATGCTGTACCGCCCCTCCAGCCCCTCGATGGTGTCGCCGTGCGTCCGCTCCTCCACCAACCGCTTGAAGCTCTGCCCTCCAGGCCGCAACAGCGCGAACTTGAGCTCCTCGATGCCTCGGATCTTGAGCAGCGACTTGACGCACGCAATGCCGAACTCACCGGCGGCATCGCCATCGCCCAAATCCTCAGGCACTGCAACAATGACGCAGACAGACAGACAGACAGACGGGCACATACAAGACACAATTGGCGTGCATGCGAATGGAGGCGATTGGTTGCTGCTCACCCTCTACACGAACATCCAGCCGTTTGATGGTCCGCAGCTGGTCTGCCATGTCCCCCCACGTCAGCCCCCCCTCACCCACATCCGTCACATAGCCGGCCTCAAAACGCTCCAACTCCCTCTCCCCACCCACCGCCTGCAACATCCCCACTGCGTGCCCCTCTTTCGGTTTCCACAGTGTAATGCGTTTGACAGCCGGCATCTTGGTCACCAGCCTGCGCCCACTCGCGAGCCCCTTGCCGCTGTAGCACCGGAGACGCCATACAGCGGGGAATGCGTTGTGAGGCATGCTGTCGAGCACAATCGGGTCGGGCTGGTCGGCATCATCGGCAGGGTCCCAATCGTCCTGGTCCGACACTGTCACGGTCGTCGCACTGGGGAATGTCAGGGATCGTGCGACGGCGATGGCAGCGGGGCTGGGCGTGTCGAGAGCGGTGGTGAGATGGTGAGGGCGGATGGCGAAGCCATCAAGGGCTTTGGCGGCCATCTGCTGGATGTGCCTCTGCACGAAGAATGAGGGCGCGGGGCGGATGGGAGTGTCGCAGAGGAGGGACAGGTCGAAGAAGGAGGCCCCGGTCTTGATGTCGACGGGGATATCGGGCCTCACACAGACGGCAAGTGTAAAGGCCTCGATGGCCGCGAGGGTCGCGAAGATGCTGCTGTTGATGGAGTAGTCCTCGAGCTTGATGCTGAGCTTCTTGATGGAGCGGCAGCCACGGTCGACGAGGACAGCCTGCACACAGACACACGCACATTACAAACAGACTCTCGCCTTCCCTGTCTGATTTTGTGTAGCTTATGTGGTTCGTCGCATACCTGAAGGCCCTCCAGACGCACTGCGCCATTTCTCACGTTGAGCGTCCCGATGTCCTCGAGCTGTGACAGCGGCCCCGGCTGGCCGGCCGTGGCCGTGGGGATGCGCCGCAGCGAGTCCGCCATGGCGTCAGGATGGCACTCCACCTGCAGCTCCTTGAGGCGCCGTGACGTGGCCACCAGCTCCCCCACGATCTCCGGATACACCGTCTTCCGCACCTGGACTGTCTCGATTGACGGCAGCTGCCACTGGCGCCCGCGGCCGGGATAGGAGAGCTCATATCCCGGGATCATAATGGACGTGAGGGATGTGAGGG